AGAGGCAACAGAAACAAATTCAAGGTCTTCCCTCAGCCACAATTCAAGTATGAGACCAACTTGAGCTGCATGGGACCTTGTCTCAAAAAATAAATCAGTGAAACAAAGTTTGGACATATAGCTGACTGTAGAGTGCTTGTGTTGGCTGCTGAATTTGGTTCTCGGTGCTGGAAAGGAAGGGGATGCGGGATGCCAAGTTCCAGCACTCAGGAAGCAGAGGCAGGCGGATCTCCTGAGTTTGAGGACAGCCGATCTACAGAGTTCTGTGATAGCCAAGGCTGCACAGAGAATTCTGTCTCCAAAACTTAAAAAAAACAAATAGGGAAAGAAAGTAGAGCTGGGGAGATAGGCGACTCTACATTTAAGAACAAATAGAGTGCATACTGCTGGGCTGTAGAGATGTCTCAGGTAAGAGTACTAGCTTCTCATCCAGAGAACCCAGGTTCTAGTCCCAGCACCACATGATGGCTAAAGATCGTCTGTGACTCCATTCCCAAGGGATCCAATATTTTGTTCTGACCTCTGCATGCCTTGCATGTATGTGGTGCACAGACATAAATGCAGCCCCCCCCCCCCCAAAAAAAAAGCATAAGGGAAAGGAATTACACACCGCTTTTGGAAATAACAGCCAAGTGCCTTCATTGAAAGAAAGAATCTACTAAACAGTTATGTCAGTTTATGTATGACAGCAGTGTATGAGAATTACTTTGTTCCTGCCAGTACATGATATTATCAGTCATGTAAGCCATTTTGGTGAGTTAGTACTGTACATGGGCAGGAGCATTGTCTTCCTAGCTGTTTGGGATGAAATATCATCTTACATACCTAAATTATCTCCTTACTGGGTTAGGTCCAGCCTAAACATGTGAAGGAAGCTTTTCGGTTACTGAATAAATCAATCATCCGTGTAGAAACGCCTGATGTCAATCTAGATCAAGAGGAAGAGATCCAGATGGAAACGGATGAGGGGCCAGATGGCATCAATGGTGAGGAGCTTGCTCATTACCTGTCTGTAGATAGAAGCTGATCTTGCAGGATATCATGCCAATGCACCTGTCTATGGCTGTGAAGTAGATGCTCTTGAATTTAAAGTATTCTTGGGCCAGTATATGATTCAGTGGTTAAATGTCCTTGCTGGAAAACATGGTGATTTGAGTTCATTAACCTGCACTTATGTAATGGTAAGGAAGGACTGAACACATAGAGTTACTTTCTGATTTCCACATACACACTACGGCATGCTCACAAATGTCCATACACATAATGATAATTAAAAAGATTATTAAACGTGTCTCAATCACATTGAAACAGGTTTTTGTTCATAACACTACAAACTGACTTTGGGTGCAGGGAAAACTTTATAGCCTTCTGGGTCAGCCTTTTAAGCGCACAGACTATAGGTGTGTGCCACCATGCCCTGCTGCAAGTCGGTTGTCTTCACTAGTAGGATTTTGTTTCACATTTATTTATAAAATGGTTGTTTCCTGAAGTTCATATTAAACTTGAGCAGTATGTGCATGAATGCTAGAGTGTTTAATGAGGTCTTGTTGGACACAAGGACAAGACTCAGGTGGTTTCTTCTTTTCTTAGGTCATGCTGACAGCCCTGCCCCTGTGAATGGGGTCAGCGGCCTCAATGAAGATGCCAATCAGGAGCCCATTTCCAAGCCCTCCCTGCGGCTGGGCTTCGCTGAGTACTGCCGAATCTCTAACCTCATCGTGCTCCACCTCAGGAAAATGGAAGAAGGTGAGTGTGCGCCTCACACTGCTTACTTGCTGACACTCAGACATGCTGTTTCTGCCACTTCTGATGTTAAACATTCTGTTCTATCAGAAGAGATGTTACTTACTTTATGTTGACTTATAGATCATTCTTGTTCATATATTTAGTTTATGATATTGAAGCACACTTTTTTTTTGTTTAAGTTTTCTTGAGGCAGGGTTTCTCTGTGGCTTTGGAGCCTGTTCTGGAACTTGCTCTATAGACCATTCTGGCCTTGAACTCAGATATCCGCCTGTCTCTTCCTCCCAAGTGCTGGGATCAAAGGCATGAGCTACCACCACCTGGCTAGAACATAACATTTTTGCAGGTAGAAATTACTTTAGTTGCTTTCTTCCCAACAAATGGTCTGTCTCCCAGGGTATTTCTATTTTAAAGTCAAATTGAACCAAATGTATATAACTACCACAAATGTATTGAAATTCTCTTCTGCCCATCATTACCTGGTTACTGGCACACTGGCACACTTTTAACCCTTAACTGCTTGTTGTGATTATCAGTTTCACCATTCTCCAGTTACCCATGGGCAGGAAGAAAAACAGGTCATCTGTTAAGACTCGTAGTTAATTCTTTGTGTGTATTCATGTAAGCGTTTGTGGTTGGGTGCCCATGGAAATCAAAGGGGGATTTGGATCCCCCAGAGCTAGAGTTACAGTAGGTTGTGAGCTGCCTAATATGTGTGCTCAGAATTGAAAAGATCCAAGAACATGATAGGCTTAATTCACCATGCAAAATTCCAGTCTGTGCTGGAGACTTTCACCTAATACTTGAACTGAGTCAGATTCTGGCTGGGTGTGATGACCTGCACTTTTAGTCCCAGCACTGAGGAGATAGAGGCAGGTTCAAAACCTGATCTACATAGTGAGCTTCAAACCAGCCAAGGCTGCACAGTGAAAGACCCCATCTCAAAAGAACAAAGAGAATGAAGTACTCTGAAGAGCTTACAAATATGTCTGCTTTTGTATCTTTTGTGTGTGGTGCTAAGGGTTGTATATAGTTCTTAGTACATGTTAAACACATATTCTAAAACCACTGGCCTTAACTCTTGCACCTTATTTTTGCAGTTTCTAAAATCAAAAGTATGGTTTTGGATTTTTTGTTTTTTGTTTGTGTGTGCAGGTGCACGCCATAAATTGGCAGTGTAGTTTGTTGAGGTCAGTCCTTTTAAATAATATGCTTTTGTTATAGAGGAGGATGAGTCGGCATTAAAGAGGAGCGAGCTTGTTAATTGGTACCTGAAGGAAATCGAGTCAGAAATAGACTCTGAAGAGGAGCTCATTAATAAAAAGAGAATCATAGAGAAAGTTGTTCATCGTCTAACTCATTACGTATGTATCCACTGCCTGGGCTCTAGGGTAATGGGTGGGTGGGGGGTCCCTATATCAGCAGGTTTCCTAGTTGGCTTTTTGGTGAGTTTCTTTTGAATCAGTGGGGTATAGTTCAACAAGGAAGGGACTTCTTTTCCTGAAATACGCAGAATTTAGGTAAAAGCTGAGCAAGTAGCTTTTGGATCTTACTTTGTAGTGTCTTTGACTGTACTAGTATTGAACCCTGGGTTTACATGTGCTGCTCAGACTTAGGTCTATGCTGTTTCGATAGCCCCTGTGTGGTGCTTTTTACCCCTTTGCTCTCACCCTGTCCACTTGATTCACACTTGGCTGTGTGGTGAGTTCTCAACCAGTCCACTAGCAATGCCTGCTGCTTCATCTTCCTCCTACTCTCCCTCCCCATCCAGTATCATTCTTGTTCCAAGTTTCTTTTCCATTTTGTTTGGCAAAAATTGCTTAGGGCCTGAGAAAGGAGAGGACAGGTGACATGTTTTACATTTATTTTTACTTGTTCAGAGAGAAAATGTCCTGATGAATTGTTTTTAGATGTTTTGTTGTTTGTTTACTTAGAGATTGTGTCTCACTGTGAAGTCCACACTGGCCTAGAATTCAAGGTCTTTGTGCCTTAGCCACCTGAGTGCTGGTATTGCAAGGTATATACCACCATAGCAGCTTTGACCCATTCTTAGTCCAGTTAGAAATAGAATTTACCTAGCATGTGAGAGGCCCTGGCATGATAGTTCACAAAAATCAATAATAGCTGAGGAGATGGTTTAGTGGTTATAAGCTCTCCCCGAGCTCCCAGGTTTGATTCCCAGCTCCCACATCACGTGGCTAAGAACTGCTGTAACTCTTGAGAATACATTTTTAAAAAGAGAGAAATAGAAATAGAATCTTGCTGATCATTATAGTACACACTTTTAAAAGTGTTCAAGCAACTAAGGGCAGAAAAACTGCAAGTTTTTGGCCAGTCTGGCTGTATAGACTGTCTCAAAAAACTAGTGGGAGGGGAGGTGCAGCAGTTATTAACTGGCAATGTTAAATGAAACTGAAGCATTTTTTCACAATTATATAATCTTAAATTCAAGCACTGTTTCCTTTTTTGAAATTGTATTAACAAGCATTTGATACCTTATCAAAATCACAAAAAAAAAAACCCTGAATTTCTTAGCTTTTCAAGGCCTTATACATGCTCAGTAGAGGTCAGCATCTTAATAAGAAGAGAATTGAACCGGGCACTGGTAGTGGTTTTAAGGTGTGGTTCTGGTCCTCCAAGGGCTTTTACACAGGAAATGAGTATGTGTAAGTAGTAGACATAAAAGTATGGATTTGGACTGAAGACAAAACTGTTCCGCAGGATCATGTTCTGATTGAGCTTACCCAGGCCGGCCTGAAAGGCTCCACCGAAGAAAGTGAGAGCTACGAGGAAGATCCCTACTTGGTAGTCAACCCTAACTACTTGCTTGAAGATTGAGATGGTGAAGGTAACTTTGTGGCCAGAGGCAAGACCTGTGGTGTCCTCCCTCTGCCCCGAGCCTGATGACACTCAGGAGAGAGAGTTTCTGGATGGTTTGAAGAGGGAGAGCTGAGTTCATGTCCCCAGGAACCTCATGCTAGGACAGATTTAGGCACTTTGTGCTTCTTGTTTTATTGAAGTCGGAACCCAATCATGTTCTTTCTGTAAGATCTTTGTCTTTGTGTATAGGCCTGCTGCTTTTGTTATATAGGTATCTGGAAATTGCCTTCTTCAGTTTCCAACTACTATTATTCATGAAAATAAAATACATTGTTCTGCAGTTGTCTGTTGGATTCATTTCTGCTCTTGATTATTGCCTACATTTCTATGATTGAGTTACTAGTCTTGAATGTCTGATCATCTTATTTTTCTTCTTCTTAAATATGAAATGCTTCATGAATTTGCATGTCATCCTTGTGCAGGGGCAATGCTGATCTTCTCTGTGTCATTCCAGTTTTAGTATGTGTGCTGCTGAAAGCACCTGATCCTCTAGCTTTAGTTTGAGTGCTGGGATTGTAGGTGTGCCACCACATCTGGCTTCTAGTATAAATATTGTTTATCTGTGTGCAAATCCTAGGAGAACTTGCTAGATAGTAGGTCTCTTGCCACGTGAGCTCCCTAGATTGGACTCCGGTCATCAGAACTGACTTCATTTGTTTACCAGCAGAGCCCGCTTCCCTTTTGTTTTGTTTTGTTTGAGACAGGGCTGTACTGTAACTCCCTCTATAGATTAGACTGGCCTTTAACTCAGGTCTGCCTACCTCTCTGTGTCCCTAGTGCTGGGACTAAAGACATGGGCCACTACCACCTGACAAAATTTTTGTTTTAAATAGAAATTAATATATGTTGACATGGCTCAGCGGGGAAAGATACTTGCTATGCAACCGTAGTCCAACCCCTAGAACTCACAATATAAAGCAAACCTCTCTCTCTACAAAGTTATCTCTGACTTCCATATGGTATGCTGTTGCACATGTACACAGTTCTAACTAGAATCTACAAATTTTAAGAAATACGTAAATAAAGCCTGTTAGTGGTGTTGCGTACCTTTAATCCCAGCACTTGAGGCAGAGGCAAGTGGATCTGAGCTTGAGGCCAGCCTGATCTACAGAGTGAGTTCCAGAACAGCCAAGTCTACTTAGTGAAACCCTGTCAAAATTTTAAAAAAAGAAAGAAAAGTAATACTTCTTGAGGTTTGTATGTGTGTGTTTAAAGAATCTCACTTTGGAGCTCTATGTGTGTTGTGTTTAACTCAGAGTCTCAGTATGTCTGGCTGGCCTGGAACCCACCGGCCTCTGCCTCCCCAGTAGTAGGGTTAAAGGCATGGGTCACCAAATCTGACCTTACAGTATTTCTTCAGAGACTCTTGGAAACTGTCATATTTTAATGTGAAAACTTAGTTGTTTTGTTTTTCAAGACAGGGTTTCTCTGTAGCCCTGGCTATCCTGAAACTCACTCTGTAGACCAAGCTGGCCTCAAACTTGGCTTGCCTCTGACTCCCATCTGGCTTGAAAGCTTGATAGTTTTTATATTGGCTGATAAGATAGCTCAGTCATTACAGTGCTTACCGGTTACCCCTAAAACACAAGGAACTGAGTATGAAAAGAGTAAATAAACCTGGATGTGGTAGTGTATGCTTGTAATCCCTGCCTGGGGAAGCGTTGCAGGCGCTAGTATTTGTATGCTAGGCAGCCTAGCCTACCAGATCAGTCCCAAGCCAGTGAAAGATCCAGCTAGAAAGTAAAAAGGGTACCTGCTAGACCAGCAGCTAAAGCACTTGTACAAGCCTGAGGACCTGGGTTTCATCACCAGGACCAACATGGTAGAAAGAGTCCCAACTTTTTTAACTAAAATTATATAAAAAGGTGAACAATGCATGACCAGAGCTGCCTCATGTGCACATGTATATAAAGAAGGGGTGCACCCATTTTCACAAGATTTATTTATGTGAATGAGTGTTTAGCTTGCATGTATGTATGGACACCATGCGTGTCTAGGAGGGCCTTGGATCCCCTGGTGAGTCACCATTTGGGTGCTAGAAAGCAAACCTGGGTCCTTTGCAAAAGCAATAGGTGCTCTTAAATTCCAGAGCCACCTTCCAATCCCACCCCGTTTTGTTTGTCTGGGTGTAGGTTTTTCTAGGCATGGTCTTACTAGGTCTGGCTAGCCTCAAACTCCCAGAGAGCCATTCTCATTTTTCTTTTCAGGTATTTTCAAGTTCCTGTCCTTGTATTAAGTGGGGAGCTTGAAGTTTGTCATTATAACCTTCATTCCTAGCAGCAATGAAGATACTTAAAGAGATCTATAACATCCTTGCTTTGTCTAGAGACCAATTGAACAAGGAATTAGGATTTCCCCTTGGAATTCCATGCAGCCTTAGGGCAGGGCAAGAATAAAACTGAAGCTGGATGTCAGTCAGGGAGGGAGTTTACCTTCCATGAAAGAGTTGCACACAGGCCAACACTTCTCAGACCCCTGTACAGGATAAGCCGAATGGGCCAGTGATGGGCAGGGCCACACCTTGACCAGAACCTCTAAGCTGTGCCTTTTTTTTTTTTCGGGGGGGGGGGTTTGGGGGTTCAAGACACGGTTTCTCTGTGTAGCTTTGGAGCCTGTCCTGGAACTCCCTCTGTAAACCAGGCTGGCCTCGAACTCACAGAGATACGCCTGCCTCTGCCTCCTGAGTGCTAGGATTAAAGATGTGTGTCACCCCCACCTAGCAATAAATCTTAAAAAATAAAGCTCGGGACTGGCGAGAAGGCTTAGTGGTTAAGAGCATTGACTGTTCTTCCAGAGGACCTGGGTTCAATTCCCAGCACCCACATGGCAGCTACAGCTGTCTGTAACTCTAGTTCCAGGGGATTTCATACCTTCACCCCAATGCACGTTAAATAAATTGTTAAATAACAAAGCTCATGGCAGAAGCCTGAAGATGGGGTTGAAGTTCAACACACCTCTTTATTCTTTCCACCATGTCCACACTGAATACTTCTTTGGTTTTTTTTTTTTTTTTCACTGTTGTGGGTCTGGCATTTGGGAGGACAGTGGCTGAGCCTAGCTTGTTGGGGCTGCAGGACCCAGGCACCCTAGAAATTCCAATACTATCTCATGTTATTTAAATTTGTAGAGATTAGGACAGGAGATGGCTCTGTTAGTAAGTGCTTGCTGTACAAGCAATGAGGACCTGAGTTTTTTGGCTTTTCGAGACAGGGTTTCTCTGTAGCTTTGGAAGTTGTCCTGGAACTCGCTCAGTAGACCGGGCTGGCCTCGAACTCACAGAGATCTGCCTCCTTGAGTGCTGGGATTAAAGGTGTGTGCCACCCGTGCCCAGCTGAGGACCTGAGTTTTGATGCTCAGCGCCCATGTAAAAAGCCAGGTATGATGATACACGCTTGTAATTGAGCACCAAAGAGGCTGGAACAGGCAATTCCCTAGGGCTCACAATCAGAGAAGATACCAAAGATCTACCTCTGACCTCTATGTGCACATAAGTGCGTCAACCTGTATAAGAAACACAAAACACATCTTTTTTTGAAGATTACACTGGTTGAAACAAGTTCTGATTTAACTACCCTAGATAATTCAGTTAAATATTGTGTGAATAATCACTGTTTACAGCTTCAGCTGTGGCTATAAAATGTCAGGATTCCTTCCACATGCTTCTAACAGTTCCTTGAACATGGATCTGCCTTGGACAGCACTCTTCCTGAGCACTGTCCTCCTGAGTCTGTCATGCCAGGGGACTGACTGGGACTCTGACAGAAATTTTATTTCAGCCGCTGGTCCTATAACCAGTGACCTAGTGCTTAACCTGAACTATCCGCTGCGAACGCAGGGCTCTGATTTGGTAGCTGGTAACGATGACATCTACGTCTGCCAGCAGCCATTGCCCTCCTCCTTGCCGCAGTACTTCAGCAGCCTTCACACCAGCCGGGTCACCCACTACAAAGTACTTTTATCATGGGCACAGCTTCTCCCAACAGGAAACCCGAAGAATCCAGACCGGGAAGCGGTGCGGTGCTACCGACAACTCCTGCAGTCCCTGAAGGCTGCCCAGCTTCAGCCTATGGTGGTCCTGTGTCACCAGACCCCACCCACCAGCAACACCATCCAGAGAGACTTTGCTGACCTCTTTGCCGACTATGCCGCATTCGCCTTCCAGTCCTTTGGGGACCTTGTTGAGATCTGGTTCACCTTCAGTGACTTGGAGAAAGTGATGGTGGATCTCCCCCACCAGGATTCAAAAGCTTCTGCTCTCCAAACCCTCAGCAATGCTCACAGGAAAGCCTTTGAAGTGTACCACGAAAAGTTCTCTTCTCAGGGTGAGTAACGCTGACATGTGGCATGGCAGCAACCTTCACCGCCCTCCTCCGTTTGCTTCCTTACGCAGGACCCATGTCCCCTCACCTTGTGGGCTTCCAGGAGACCCCCAAATCTAAGCATTGCTTAGAATCCTTTCCCAAAGGGGACACATAAATGCCCAGCATTCGTCTGAAAACTTCATTTGAGATAGTGTCCCTTGTAGTCCAGCCTGGCTCACTGTGAAGTCAGTAGGTAAGTTTGAACCTCCTCCTGTCCTCAAGACTTCACCCTCTGAGTTCTGAGTTGACAAACGCCACATGCAGTTTTATGCAGTGCTAGGGCTTGTGCACACCAGGTAAGCGCTCTAACCTCTAAGCTGTGTCCTGAGCTGCAAATCCTCCCTCCCTCCCTCCCTCCCTCCCTCCCTCCCTCCCTCCCTCCCTCCCTCCCTCCCTCCCTCCCTCCCTCCCTCCCTCCCTCTCTCTCTCTTTCTCTCTCTGATTTTTATTTTATTATATATAGGTGTTTTATCTGCATGTATGCCTAAGTACCATGTGCATGCCCGTGCCCTTAGATACCCTAGAACTGACGTTACAGAGGGTTTTGAGTTATCATGTGGATACTAAGAATCAAACGGGACCACTGGCAGAGCAGCCGGTGCTCTTAACTGCTAAGCCATTTCTGCAACCCTTGAAAACTATCTTCTAAAACCCTTCAGCAGGGTCAAGTCTGTGCAACTGTCTTCTGTCCTTCCTGGAAGGGAAGTTTGTAGTCAGGACTCCTCCCACACTCTCCTAACATTTCTTTGAACATGGAGCTGCCTTGGAGAGAAGAGTACTGTCCTGAGTCTCCACAAGGAGACCCCCACTCTCCTATGAAAACAAGGGTAAACCTTTTAGTTGGAGTTTACAGTGCATCAAGGGAGGCAAAGATAAATAATACATCAATGGGTAATGAGAAGACTAATTTGTGAATATACAGTAGACACTAAAACTGAAACCTTATACATGGGAGGCAAGTGATCTACAACTTGTATTAACTTTTTACTGTTCGCAAATTATGTTTCAGTGAGTATTGCTATGTATACATTCTTGCCCACCCTCTGATAATTCCTCTTGATAGGGCCTATCCTTCAAATTGAGATTAGCCAGGTGTGGTGGTGCATGCCTGTAAATCTAG